ACTATTTGGCACCTAGCACTTGCAAAACGGGTCAATTTTAAGTATTTTCTAAAAAATTCCAGAAAAATTCTAGAAAATCACAAATAATCTAACAAACATAAAACACTACAGTTACTTTACCTAATTCCTAATAATTTAATTATTAAAATTTTGACAAAGATTTTGTCAAAATTTAACAAATCGAAGTACTCGAGAATTAGGATGTTACATGATCTTCCTCTCTTGGTGGGCTTTGTCATTCAGTATTAGTCATATTTCTAGTAGACATCATTCGTCATGTTTTTGTTTGGTCCCATGGTGAGCGCCAATTATGTTTTTATAAGGCCGAATACACACTAGGTCCACTACCTTCTCATGCAATTATCTCCTTTCCATTACCTTCAACTCTTTTAGTATTCAGTATTCGATAAATTCTCGGTTCTCGACGTCGAGAGGTGGATAGAGGAATCTGCAAAGAAAACACTTCGACACTCAAGTCAAGAAGGGTAAGATATATTGGTAGGTATATATTTTTAGTAGAAATATCTCTTTATCTTATGCTTAGAAATGCTTATATGACCATGACGGGGTGGTATAATTTCGTACTCCTAATGTGGGACTAGGTTGAGAGTCACTTATTAAGTATAAAAATAATAATAATTTTAAATAATAAATAATAATAATAATTATTATTATTCTTATTATTATTATAAATATTAGTAATAAAAAAGTATAGATATAATCTTATTGTGTATAAGTAATTAACTCTCACCTTTTTTAAGTAAATCTAATAATTGTATTATATCAAAATGATATATTTTATTTATAAGAGCTTTTATGAAGTCTTATTGTTTGTGATAGAATCTCAACGAGCAAGTTTCTTCAAAAGTTTTTTTTTTTTTTTTTTTTTGTTGAAACGTGCCAACAGAGACTAAGTGCATAATGCTGGCATATTGGTCCTTGTGGAACAATTACGTCTTCCTTGTAAAGCATCAATCCCTTTCAGGATGTTCTCTGACCCGTATTTCTTCCGAAGAGTCCCAATTCATAAGGACACCAGAATATGGTTGTCTGTACATCTGATTGTACAAATTGCATAGTATCATAAATAGCTATTCCGGGTATTACCCACCCCCGGAGAATTTATAAACAGATACAAATCTTTATTCTCTTTCTCTATGTTCAGATATATCATAAGACTAATAAGTTGATTCGATATTTCACTATCAACCTCTTGACCTAAAAAAAGTAATCTTTCTCGATAAAGTCGATTGATTAGGGTTGGTCAAAGGCAATGTCCAACAGATGGAATAAAGATACCCCACAACACGGACCACCACCCCTTTTACTCATGCATGTAATTATCTCCCTGTTTCACTCAAAGTTTCTCTTACTACATTCTTTTCACATTACATTCTAACCTACGTGAAAGCAGCTTTCAGAACTTAACTCTAGGTACAACATGAACAGAATATGGTACAAAAAGAAGAACAGGAACACCATATCTATCTCAATTTCTAACTAAACTCACAGTACTATGTGAATTTCTAAACTTATTTTTTTAAAGTTTGCTGATATATGCGGATACAATATGTACCTATCCAAGATGATATTGAGAATTTTTAGGGTTTTATGTATATGTATTTCTGATATATCATGTGAGTATATTTTTATTCATGTATTCTATGTATATATAAAGTAAAAATATTACAAAATATCAAATATCAATAATATCTCAATCATAACTGTCTAAATCAAAATAATAATCTAATGTCTTTTTACCTTCTCTCTTAAAAGATAATAAAATTTCTTAATACATAATTTAAATAAAAGATAATAAAGTAATATTCCTAACATTCCTCCTTACTTTAATATCTATTTATTTGAATTTGATAAAAAAAATTATTTTGTTTATAATTTTTCCTCCTTTTTTGTTTGTATTTCTTGTCATCTTCTTTCTTATGTGAGATCACATCTTCATTCAACTTCACTTTCTTCAGTATCAAATTCATCTCCTTTGTTTCTTTCAAACTTCTTCATGGTAGTACTTGTTGACTCTTTGATGGACGTTGAAAACGGTTTCTTCATATCTAACTCTTTATTTTCCTCCTTAACATCAAGTTCCTTCAAGAAATCTTCTTCATGCTTTTTCTTTGACTTTTCTTTTATATCCTTATTTGTAATCATCTCTTATTTCATCAAATCTCAAGTGAAATTTTTTCCTTTCATATGAACTTTGAATATTTCCAAGTTATTTGTATATTTAATCACACAAAGTTTGTGTTTAAAAGACACCTTATAACTTTTCTCCAATAATTGGGTAACACTTAACAAATTAAGATTAATATCAGGAACATATAAAACATCAACAATTAATTTGATACCCGAATGACTTTTAACTGCAATTGTTCTCGTACCTTTCACATTCATTTGTTCTCCATTACCAATTCTCACTTTAGAAATATGTGATTCGTTGAGCTCGTTGAAAAGTTCTTGATCATGAGTCATGTGGTTTTTACAACCACTGTCTATAAATCAACCTGTGAATTTGTTGATTGTAGAGCAGGTTGATGCAAGGAGAAGTACCTCTTCTACCCTATCCTCTATAACTTGAACGACTTCCTCTGGTTATGATTTTCATATCTTTTCTATATGTCCCAATTGACCACATTTGTAACATTTCACATCAGGTCTCCACCAACACTTGTTAGGTGTGTGATTATTTTTCTTGCAATAAGGACAAACAGAAAAAACTCGTAATTTGATACCTTTGTTGTTCTTGACTTGAAGAGAACCTCCATCATAATATAGTAAAGAACTTTCACCAACAACATGATCTCCTCTCATCAATCTTCGTTGCTCTTGCGCTTGTAAAACATGTAACACTTCTGTCAAAGTAATATTAGACAAATCTTTTGTGTTTTCCAATGATGTAATAGATGTTTCATATCTCTCTAGCACAGTTACCAGAATTTTCTCAACTATTTTGGAATCATAAAATTTCTTGCCTAATAATTTTATTTTGTTAGCAATATTCAACAATTTGTTTGAGTATTCATTAATTATTTGAGACTTTTGCATATTTTGTATCTCAAATTCCCTTATCAAGTTTAGAACTTTCATACCTCGAATTTTCTCATCCCCTTCATATTGATCTTTCAAATAATCCCAAATTTCTTTGGGTGACTTTAGCGTCATGATTCTGGTGAGGATTATTTGTGAAACACCAACAAACAGACATGATTTAGCTTTTACCTTCCTTGTTTTTCTTTCTATGTGAAATTTCATTTCAGCTATGGTGGGATTTCCAGGTAGTGGATCAACAATATAATCTTCTTTTACATCTTCCCATACATCCAATCCTTCAAGATAGGATTGCATTCTCACAGCCCATAAGTCATAACTTTCGCCGTCAAAATCTGGAATAACGATTTGTGAAAAATTTCTTTCTCTTTCCATTGTATCGAACTAGGCTCTGATACCAACTTGTTGAGAATTTTTAGGGTTTTATGTATATGTATTTCTGATATATCATGTGAGTATATTTTTATTCATGTACTCTATGTATATATAGAGTAAAAATATTACAAAATATCAAATATCAATAATATTTCAATCATAACTGCCTAAATCAAAATAATAACCTAATGTCTTTTTACCTTCTCTCTTAAAAGATAATAAAATCTCTTAATACCTAATTTAAATAAAAGATAATAAAGTAATATTCCCAACAGATGATATGATTATTCTAAAATATAACAGAATATCATATATGAAAGATATTTATAAAAAGTATGGAAATTCACAAAACTTAATAAATTTGTAATATTTAATTTTGCAAATCCAAATTAAAATCATATATATTTATTTGTAGAAATATAGAAATTATAAATCTTTCTTATCACAAATTACTTTTTATTATTATATATATATCCTTGAAACGATAGTGCAATTTTTTCCTATATTAATTATGGTCGGTTTTGTTTTTCTTTTCACATCTTTTATTTTAGTTGTGTTATTTATGTTTTTATCTAATTTCTACCTGTGGTATCAGAGTCGATACGTCATCCGGTGATCGGCTTAATTGAGTACGAGTAGGTGAACGGCGGTACAAGTAAGGTTACTATCGAGTACTTGCGGTTAAGAAATATTTCCGCTCGAGGGGGAGGTGTACTAATGTGAAAGAGAATCACACTTTAGGAAAAGATTGTTGAGTATTCAAGTGTGAGTTAAAGTCTCACATTGGGTGTAAATAAGAAAGTTGAGTAACTTATAAATGAAAATGACTCATAATCTAATGTTTCAAGTTTTTTTGGTTGAAAATGATGTCATATTCTTTTATATAATTAGTTCATATTTCATGTGTGAAAATCTCTGTATTGATAGTCTCGAAATACCTAACATATACATGAATAACACTATTAATTTCATTGTTTTTTAAAAACAATTCTTAAAGAGAATAATTTTCTTGTCCAAGAGTTTCTATATTACGCATAGATTTTTTCAGTATAGGATATGAATGTCGTGAAAGAACACTTCATGTATATGTATGAACTATGCAAAAATATAATACGTAAAACAAATAAGGATATTGGTGTTTACATGTTGAGGAAGTATTTTAGAGTATCAATATCATATCGGAAATGTATTAGACACCTAAATGTGAAACAAATTTACAAATTGAAGTGAGAGAGTGTTTCATATTAGACACCGAAATGTGAAACAAATTTACAAATTGAAGTAAGAGTGTGTTTCATATGAAAGAAAAAAAGGGTGAGGTTGTACTACTATTTAACAAAAAACTAAAAAGGCTAATATTTTGTGGTTGTGAGTTAACAATAATTTTCTGTTAGAAAAACCAGTGTTGTGATAACCAGAAACAAACTGCAGCAGCTATATAAATGTCTATGAACCCCCATAACGGAATGAAACTATAGTTACTAAAACTACCACTCTACCTAATTTTATCAAACAGTAAACAGATATTCTGAACAGAAAACATCACACGTCAAACACAGGAGTTACTGGTTAAGAAAGTTCCTGATATGGGCTATCATTTCTTGGGTTCGGGAATGGGAAAGCTGGTAATTATGCAGTACTTGGAATGCATGGCCTACGCCTTTGTAAACAACTGTTTCAACCCTTTTCCCTGCTTTAGCCAAAGCGTTTGAGAATTCCAAGTTCTTATCTCTCAGAATATCCATTTCTGAAACGCACATCATAATGGATGAAACCCTCAAGTCTCTCAACTTGACCGTGCCATGTGCAAGAGGGTTGCAATATGGGTGATCACGAGTAGCTCCAAGAGGAAGTGCTAAGCGCCAATAAGTGTCAGAAACGGATAAAGTGAGTGCTGAATTGGGTGGCTGAAGGAAATGCTTCTCAGAGCTAGTTCTTTCTTCTCCTCCAAAGAAAGGTTGGATCAATATAATACCCTTGAGAGATAATGGTGTCATTGGTGTGTTTGATGCTAATCCCATGCGTGTGGCCACATTATAAGCTATGTTGGCACCTGCACTATCACCAGCTAGGAAAAGGGAAGACATGTTGCAATGATTCAGCCACCACTTTTGCACACTGGAGGTATTCAGTGCTTCTCTTTTCACCCACGCGAGAGCGTTGAAACCATCATCATATGCCATAGGAAGTCGGTTCTCTGGGGCTAAGTGATAATCCACGGAGAGAATGACACAGTTTGCTTTGGAAGCAAGGTGGGTCAGGAACTCATGGTAACAGCTCCAAGCAGCAGAACCAACACAGAATCCACCACCGTGGAAGTACACAAGCAAAGGAAGAGGCTTTGTGTGAGAACTAATTGGCACATAAACACGTGCCCATAAGTTGGTCTCTTTGTTGATGATAACATCTTTGGGTGTGACACCACGTTCTGATGATGATGCCACTGTGCAGGAGACACTAGGCACAATTGGTGGCCTTTCTACACGTCCATCTCTGTGGACTCTTATGAGTCCTTGGATTTCTTCAGTGATGATTTCACGTTGCTGGTTAGTGTTGTTCACTTGAGGGTTATGCCTGAGTGAAATGGTAGCCATATAGTAAAGATATTATGGAAGAGTGAAAATCTCTATTCTCCTTAATTGTGATGCCATAACGGTGCCATGGTTTGATCCTTTTATAGAAGATCAGAGAATAAAAGACAAGGGGAATTGACCAATTGGAAGGCTTCAAGTTTTGGAAAGAAGCCTCATTCTCATAACCATGAGCTGTAATGAAGATTCCCGCGTGAAGTTGGAAAGTCTTTATATTTTTTTTGTCTCTGTCTCTTTGGTTTGTGTTTAAGATTTATTTTCCTAAGTGAAAATATTTTTTCGTTCCTTAAGGCACACTAGAATCCAGTGTGAAAATGAACAGGGAGAATCTGATGAATGAGATTATTCTTATCTGATGATGGACGTAATAAGTAAGAGTTGCAACTTGCACCGCTACAATGACAGTTAAATTCTGTGACTTTTTTTTCTGCACTTAAGGATGGAGATATAGACATGGCCTATCTGTTTGAGATTTGGATACCCAATCCATAAAGTGAACTGAAGACATCTGTCATCATAAGCCACTTCTTCCCTTATCTTTGTGCAACATTATTTTTGTTTCTTAATTTATCAATGTATTATGATTTTCGTATAATCTTGTTCCTTAATTATACCATCAGGGATATTTTATCATTTTATCTGTATATAGAATAATCTATCTTGTGCAAGATAATTAAATAAATTTCAGCTCTAATTTGATAGTTCTAATCTCGAGTCAAAGTGGGTCTGAATTTCACTGTTCTAGTTGCGAAATAATATCCTATATCACTTTATAAAATATTTTGGTGGAAAATTAATCATTTCATTTTAAATATGTGATTAATATGTTTAATAATTTAAATAGTTAGTTGTAAGGAAGTTAATATTTATCTACTGTAAAATATTTTAAAATCTTCCATTAAAGCTATAAATATTTATATTTTTATACATAAGAAGTATTATATATAATATAAACCAATAAAATTATTCGACAAATGTATCATATCATTTTAAATAATTAAAACACAATAACAGTATAAGTAAGATTCTTATTTTATATTATAAAACCCATGATATTAAATATTTAAAAACCAAGTCCACAACTTTTATAATTTCCAGGTTTAATTTCGAAGAATTGACCATTTGAGTGCAACGTAGGTTCTATGCTGCAACATTATATTGCTTGACTGGTTCTTTCCTTTACTTTATAAATCCAGAAAACTGATGAATTTGTGTTAGAAGCTACTAAACATACGGGACCAGACAGAGTCTATAAAATAAAAAATAATAAGATAATAGAATAAAGGATATTCTTCTAATTCCTTTCAAAGTACAAGCAAATGGAAAGTTAACTTTATTCTTTAAATATCCCATATCTCTCATCAAATATGCCCCTCTATTTCAATTCTTTATTTCATTCAAGATTGAAAGGAAATTCAACTTTATTACACAGCTCTCTGTACACCGATTCTTATATACTACATATATATACATTTTTCATAATATATAATAATTATACCAAACATAAGAAAATTATCTAACAATGTTTACCCAACTGCTTTCTTTACTCTAGGTGTATTTAAACAAGTTTCATCAAAAGATTTTTAAGAGAAGAAAAACATAACTTTTTAAAACTTTTAAAATTTATGTATAATTTTTTTATTTCATAAAAAAACTCACTTAATTTTGTACATTTTCTTTATTTGTTTATAAAGGAACTCATTTAAATCAACACGTAATTATTGTTATCCAAAACGTTAATTAATTATTCAAACATTTTGCTTACCTTGGACATCAATTTTGTCTCAAGATAATAAGGTCTTCTCGTGTCGTATGTTGCTTCCAAATTTTATCGTGTCGCTGTGATTTTGATCCTTTACTATCAATTCAAGCACATGGCCACAAGATTTAACTGTAAACATGGCCACAAGATATATACTTCAAGTTTGGACCATATATCTTTTTGCAGCATCATTGATATTATTCTTTTGATTTTAACTTGTCATTTTCTAAATTCAATTAATTTATTAATAGGAGATATCTGCAACTCTCATATCAGGCAAAGGTAAAACATATTATGTCAACCAATGTAATTTCTATTTAATCAACAACGTACTGAAGAAGGTGAATCACAGTACTCCACCATTATCTTGAACAATGTCAGATTCTTCATATTATTCTACCCGTGTAAGGTGTGCGTGCATGTATATGGTTGCATAATGACCCTGGATTCCATTGCAGAGTTGACCTCTGTTTCAACTTTCAACTAATACTGCTCAAAACTTTCAATATCCACTATTCCACTCCCACAGAGTTTATTCAAGATATTGACTTAATCAATTTGAATCCTAACTATACAATTTTGACTCTACTTAATTCGAGTAAGATTTTCTGGTATTGAAGATAAATAAGGTATCTATCAGTTGTTTTTAATCCCAAATCAAATTAAGTGGTTGGATTCCACCACTTCTTCAACTGTGTGTCTCAACCGAAAGTAATTAATTGACTATGAATAATGCTTCTCTTTAATATGGTAGTAGCCATTAATTAATTTTGGAGTGCAGCATTGTCTGTAAAAAATGTGAAGTGCTGATTAAGAAATGAGAGGATTAGGAGGGGAAATTTTTTTTATTTATGGGCATGTTTTTATTTTATTTTGATTAATATTCTTACATTTTAATAGATTTAATTTTCGTTGTTAAAACAGTAAAAAAAATTATCTCAAGAAAGATTTTAAATATTCAGTAGTCCCATTTGGAAGATTTTGTTCCAAGAATCAAAATCTCATGCAATTACTTAACGTCGTGGAGGTTCATGATCCACTGAACTGGGCTGTGGAGAAGTTGCGAAGAAGTTGCTATGAACAATTAAAATATTCATTTATACTAGATTCTGCAGTGGAGTGGAACCCACGTACAAAAACAAGGTCATATTAACCGTACAGAAATTTCATGGTGGTAGCAGTCAAGATTCTTCTCATCTATATAGATCCATATGGATCTGACAAATTTCAAAACCCAAGCTTTTCATTTTTATTCTTTGGTTAAATTATTGGTTAAATTATTCCTTCTTTTCTTTCTTCACCTTTTTGACCGTGTCCATCCGTGCAGCAAAGATAAACCACTGAGCCAGTAAAAAGGTAAAGTGTCCTTCTCACCAGAGTGCTCTAGATTAGAATATTTTCATTTAGCTAGGGATAAAGTTCACCATTTATGCACGAAATGGTGGAAACCACCATGAAAATTTAAGTATAAATTTGAAGTTCCATAAAAATCAGAAAATTTAGTAATTTACAATTAAGGAACATTCATAACTAACTACCATGAGAATCTTTCTACTAATTTCTTCAAAAATATTTACCTCTGATATCAGAACCGATCGGTTTATTCGGTGCTATATTTGTAATAACTAGAATGTTTAACCATGCCCTTTTATCAAGAGAGCGATATCCTTTCACTGTGCACATAGATTAACACAATATATTATCAACGAGTGATTCAATTCTAAGCCAGTACTTGGTATCAGCTCTCCAACTTTAAAAAATTTAGTGTTGTGTGTTGGAATTTTCTTTCAAACAACCCAAATGATGTTCATCTCAGCACATGTTTTCTATACTTTTCTGTTTAGATTTGGAATACTTATTAACCATAAACCAAACACAATACATGATGGGGTGATTGCTCAAATCTAAAGATTTGTGTTTACACACGTTTTGAAGACTAACATTTTTTTCTTTATTTGTTGCAAATCATCACCACCAATTGCACTAACAAGATTAATCCTTTTGTGGTGTTTTCGATCATCACTAGTGCAAAAAGGGGCTTTTACGTCAGGTATTTAGGGTTTTTTTACGTCGTATTTAAGTCCGACGTTAAAGCGGGAGACGTAAATTTACGTCGGACCCTTTTGCTCGACGTAGATTTACGTCAGTTATCAAGATCCGACGTAATTTTGCGTGGCATATACACTAAACAGACGTAAAAAAACCTTTTCAGTTTAAAAAAAAAATAGAAAATTTACGTCGCATATGGTATACGCGACGTAAATTTACGTCGCATATACCATATGCGACGTAAATTTACTGTTTTTTTTTTTTTAAATTGGGTTTATTTATTCTGTTTTACAACTAAAACCTGCAAATATTACACCCAGACAGTCCGAAGGTTCAGTTTTCTTTAGCTAGTAAATTAAAAATATAATATTATATAATTCAAACTACATAATAAAACAATATAATACAAACATACAAACTAAAAAATCTATTACAAACTAAGCTACCTATACAAACTAAGCTACCTATACAAACTAAACTAAACTACATAATACACACAATATAATATGAACAAGAACTTAAAAAATAATGTACTAGAATTGTTGAACAAAAAATTTTGTCCATTGTTCTCTAATATCTGTAATCTCGGATTCTGGTAATGGAGATGGATCTTGAAATACCTGAAACATGAATTTGACTCTTGTAAGCATGCAACATGAATAAAGTTAAATAAACTTAACTAATGTTAAAAGTAATTACCTCCAGTCCAAGAATCAATTAAACCCGCACAAACTATGGCTCTCATCCAATACATTACATAGTAACCACATTCAAACGAGTCAGTTTGCTTATTACACTGAAATGATGAAAAAAACATAATATTATTTTTAAAATTGAAATACAAACAATAATTATGGTATTCACTTATATAAATAAGTTTCTAACCTTAGGATAAATGAACTGCAAAGTCTTTGTTCTAGGTTTTCCACTTAGAACATTAGTTCCAGACACGATTCTAAGTAAAAAAAAGTCATATATTATTCAATATGTATTCACAATTTAAAAACATAATTAATGAATAAAAGATAAAGTTACCCTTGTAATAAGCTTTTCATTTCTTGACTCGGTTTCCGATGTAATGAACAAAACCACACCACAGTGTAATCCCGGGGCATGATTACAATTAACTGCCAATGGGACCTACATTGTATAACATCATATATTTTCTCTTCATGCATAACCAAGGAGTCAA